CTCACCCACTCACCGCTTCCCTTCGGGAACATTATGAATGGACATTTCTTCTCCATGTCTGTAAGCACTTGGAAACTGGATTGAATCCTTTTAAAGCTTTCTTTGTATAAGGAAAAACAATTACGTGCATTAAGTAGGTACAGGCAGATTTCAGGTTTATGGGATCTACTTTATTTTTTATTTCAATACCATGATGATATAAAACTATAGCTTAATAGATGGGAATAATTACGGTAAGTATTACTTCTAAATGAGCAGCACCTGGAGTGAGCATCTTGCCCTGTTGTTTCTATGACATCAAAGACATGCAAATGGGATGGGGTTTCAATCAGAATAGAGCACATTGGAAGGCACATTGGAGGTGTTCTAGTCCAACCTCCTGCTCGAACAGGAGAACCTACACCATTTCAGATAGATGGCTGTACAGTCTCTGCTTAAAAACCTCCAGTGATTAAGCACCTACTGAAGGCAAGCTGTTCCACTGATTAATTATCCTCATTGTTAGGAAGCTGCTTCTTAATTCCAGGTTGCTTCTCTCCTTGATTAGTTTCCATCCATTGTTTCTTGTCCTGCCCTCTGGTGCTTTGGAAAATAAGTTGACACCCCTCTTCTTTGTGACAGCCTCTCAAATACTGGAATATTGCTATCATGTCACCTTTCTTTTCTCTAGATTAGCCAAACCCAATTCCTGCAACCTTTCTTCATATTCCATAATTTGCACGGCTACGCCATAATGTATCTGTCTTCTTACAGATTTTGACAAACGTGCATGTATGTATGATGCATCTCTTCTAAATCAGGTTCTAGAATGAGCTACATATACAAGTGCAAACATATATCTGAATTACTGAGCTTGAGAATTTATTTGATCGTTTTTGGCACAGGAGCATTTTACCCTCACCGTGTAAATGACCAGGGGTTAAAAGCGGAATTGTAGCAACTAGCAACAGATCCTAAATTACTTTCTGTTCATTCCTTCTTTAGGAGGAATGCTCAAAACCAGAACCCGCCCTTTGGAAGCCATTCTAAATCTAGGGCAGAGTTTCTTAAACTGGGAGTGATGTAGCAATTTGCAATTGCTTGTTTGAGAGTTAAGGATACAGTTTGGGACTGCCACAGCTCTCAGCGACCAGTAAGATCCCACAGAGTTGGTCTCCTCCGGGTCCCATCAGCTAAACAATGTCGGCTGATGGGCCCGCAGGGAAGGGCCTTCTCTGTGGCTGCCCCAGCTCTCTGGAACCAGTTACCTCCTGAGATCTGGACTACCCTCACCCTCTTGGCCTTCCGGAAAGCAGTGAATACCTGGCTTTTCCGGCAGGCCTGGGCCATTGATCTCACTGTTGCAATCTTGCGAGATCCGGCCATGAATGGTGTGCATGGGCTTTTAATGTTTTTAAAATGTTTTTAAAATGTTTTTTAATAATTCTCCTATGTTCTTTGTTGTATTATTTTTTGCTGTAAACCGCCCAGAGTCCCTTGGGAGTTGGGCAGCATAGAAATTCGATAAATTAAATTAAATTAAATTAAATTAAATTAAATTAAATTAAATTAAATTAAATTAAATAATTAAGACTTCTATAAACAACAGAGTCTGGAGGGAGTTTTTTATGTGTGTGTGTGTGTGATTAATGAGATTATTCAAGACCAAGAAAAGGAGTAATTGGATCAAACAGTTTAAGAACCACTGATGGAGGGAAATGCTAAAAGACAGAACTCTCTGTGCCACATTTCTTGTCTTGCATCTGCAAAATATTGTCTGCTGTCAGCTACATTGACAAAAGAGGGGAAGGAATATCATCTTGTACTTTGTATCAAACAGCAAACTATCTTGGGTCACCTCTGGTTGGAGCTGAAGGCATGTGCCAGATCATAGTAGATATTGAACGAAACATGTGACAGTTCCCAGTTCTAAATTCATCCTGCAAGCAACAGCTGTTCTCCAAAAAAACCGTAATGTGGGAATCTGGTTTCTCAAACTGAGAAGCACTAGAAAGCATCAACTACTTATGCAGACGCACTTTCCTTTAAGTACTGGGCGTTGGATTTCATAACTCTACACTTTTGTAAGAAAACAAAATACTAATTATTAATTTAATTTTAATTAATTTGTTAGGTGAATCTGGCTTCCTCCATGAACTTTGCTTGTTGGAAGCCAGCTGGGAGAGTTGGAAATGGTGATCACATGACCCTGCTCAGGATTATGACAACAAGGCAACATTTTGGAGAGAATAGCAAAACAAAAGATTTGGTTACTGCTCTCCAAGCTCTGTTGCAATTGTGATGTCCGATGATGATCTGAAGCAAAGTTCATGCTGTTTTGAAAGCACACATTTTGGTAACTGAATCCAGTGCTGCCTCTCTTGCCCATTTTTTTTGGTGGAGCTCCTGGCATGATTGGGGAGCTGTCCAACATCCTTAGTTTACTCTCTTCTGTGTTTTCGGCAATGGCAAACAGCACAGTAAGATTGTATCCAGGCAGTCACTGACTTATGACCACAATTGAGCCCAATATTTCCATTGCTAAACAAAGCAGTTGTTCAGTGAGTTATTCCTCATTTAATGACATTTTTGCCACCGTTGTTAAGTGACTCATGCAGTCATTAAGTGTATCTATCTTCCCCTATTCACTTTGCTTGTCAGAATCCATCTGGGACAAATGATGATCATATGACTCTGGGACATTGCAACTGTCATAAATACATGCCAGTTGCCAAAAGCCCAAATTTTGACCACATGACCATGGGGATGTTGCAACAGATGTATGTATGAAAATCGGTCATAAGTCACTTTTTTCAGTGCTGTTGTAACTTCAAATGATCTCTAAGTGAATGGTTGTAAGTAGAGGACTATCCATATTGACGCCAAGAATAAACTAAGTTCAGCATCATACGTACAGAGGTAAAAAAATGGAATTACATAGTTCCACAAAAATGGAATTACATAGTTCCACAAAAATGGAACTACTGGCCATTCCAGTAGTACTGTAAATCACTGGTAAAAACCCATCTATTTCAAGAAGTGGCCTTGTGCATTGACTTTGTAGATACAGCTATAATTGGAAAACAACATTTGATTGCTCTTAATTTTGTTTTTGTTTTTTTTTACTAGTTCTCTCCTATCAGCAGCTTGTAAATTAAAATTCTGTTGAAGAAAACTTTACCTATATATTCATCCAACCTCAAATAAGTATCCAAACCAGGGGTGAAATGCTCCAGGTTCGGACCAGATCGCCCGATTCAGTAGCAATGGCGGCGGGTGGTTCAGAGAACCAGTAGCAAAAATCCCTGCACCCACCCACCCCCATGCCCAGCTGAGCCACACGATCATCAGAGGCTTTTTTTTTTTTTTACTTTTAAAAGCATTTTTTCTACAACCTCTTCCGACGAAAAAATGCTTTTAAAAGTAAAAAAAAAAGCCTCTGATGATCGGGCGGCTCAGCTGGGATCATTAGAGGCTTTTCAAAGCATTTTTTTTTTTTGCAACCTCTTGGCAGAAGAGGTGGTTTAAAAAATGCTTTGAAAAGTCTCTGACGATCCCAGCTGAGTTGCCTGATCGGCAGAGGCTTTTCAAAGCATTAGAAAAAATGCTTTGAAAAGTTAAAAAAAAAAAAGTTGGCCACGCCCACCCAGTCACATTACCCCCACCCCCACCAAGCCACGCCCACAGAACCAGTAGTAACAAATTTTACATTTCACCCCGGTCCAAACCAACATTAAAGAAAATAAACCCTTGTTTTTTCATTTTTTTTTTTTTAATTTGATTTATATGCTGCCCTTCTCCGGACACTCAGGGCGACTTACAATGTGCTCAGCAATAGTCTTCATCTTTTTGTATATTTATACAAAGTCAGCTTATTTTGTTTTGTTGTTGTTGTTATATTTGTTTTGTTGTCTCTCTGTGTATTTCTTTTCCACTTTTTGCATTTCTTTCTATAAAATGTTTAAGAGAAATGTTAAAAAATAACCTTTAAAATAAAAGAAGTGGAAGGAAAATAATCAAGATAGTGTTTGAAATTCCATTCTCATATAAAAAAAGAAAAGGTTTCCGTGGTTCCGAAATAGTTCCTCTTCAGTTTATTTTAGGAGGCAGGCAGGGTGGCCTCCTTACTCAACTACGTGGCCTGCCAAACACAGGGATGTTGCTTAAGATGGTTTGAAAACTGCTGGAGGAGAATGTAGTTCTGTGTATTCTCAAGCTTAAAAATTATGTATTTTGTGCTCCATTCTGGCACTCTCCAATTAATACAAATACTAATGTGTCAGTTCTACATAAAAATATGATACCCGAAGCCTCTTTTTTTGGTGGTAACTTTCAGCCTTCATATTTCAGTAAAAAGATCCATGCCTATAGGTAATTTAAATGTCGGGAAAACATTGCAGAGCTAAGTACGCAAGATCTAAGTAAACAAACACTAAAGCTGTTTCGGGATGTATTTCTATCAACTCCTCCTTGAGACCCCCAGTGCTAAACTTTCCACATGTGCAACTGTTTCCATCAAGTTCTTTCCTCAATGTGACAATTATGAGGGGTTAATTTGTTCCATTTCCCCAAACTGTTTAGAATCATTGTGATCAGAGTGCTGGGAACGTTTCAAGCTACCTTTACAAGATACGTTGCTATGTGTGTGCTAATCTCCTTGTGGAATAAGGAAGGAGATGCTTCAAGTGGGCCAATGCTGGTGTTGAAAGTGTCTTCAACAACAGCCCATTTGGGGGGTGGGTGGGGATTGAGACATTTCCTGATATTGTTACAGTGCAATTTGCAAACCTCCAAGTGAGAAGAGAAACAGGGAGTAATCTGAAAAGAGACTTTCACTCCGTAAGACTACATCATCACGGCTGCTTCCAGAAAAATTGCATGCCAGTAGAACTGGATGGGAATTGATGAATAAATATTAGGAAGAATGTTGAAGGAGATATGAAGCTAGCACAGGAGAGAGTAAAAGAAGATAGATAAATCTTCCTGGTTTGGGTATAAGTGTTTAATCAGGATCGTTCATTCTGACTTCCAGGAAAAAAAGCATAGTTTTTCATTGTTCTATCTGTGATCTATTTGATTTTTTTTCCCTATCCAAATAATCAACTGGGTTTAGGGACGTGCAAGAATTTTTGTTTCTGTCAAGAAGCTGTGAAGCTGCCATGTCAGAAGCTGGAATCCTTCTGCAGAGATTCCTCCAGGGACATCCCACAGTATTTGGGGTAAGCACTAGGCATGGGGCTTTTAGAAGTTCAAGGACACACAAGTTCTTCCACATACAATTTATCAGTATTGTATGTCCTTGTCCAAATTTCCTGGGTGCAGCTAATGCAAAACAGTGTCCTTTGTGAATGGCCTTAGTAGACTAATTCCTTTACCTGTCAGTGAGCATCCCATTCCCTATCCACCTTCTGGTGTAAGTTGTCATTCTTCTCCATGTTTTCTCTATACTTGGAAAATTTAAAAAAAAATGTTTATCTTTTACTTTGCAGGCACTCCTGTTGATGATTGGGCTCCTCCAATCAGCTTTTGGAATCATCTTATCTGTGTCCCCTTGTGCTTTTAGGGATGAGCTGGGCACGCATTTCAGTTCAGCTGCAGTGGTGAGTCACCAGCCTCTGCTTCTCCTGCTCTTTGCAGCCTCTGAATCAGCAACAATGCTGTACGTTTTCCATGACCTTACTTCTACAAATTTATCTTCCAAACCCCACAAAGCTGGCAAAACAGCCATTTTGGTATAGTAGTTAAGACTCTAAGGCTAAAACCCAAGAGGCTGAGAGTTCACAAAACCAGCTGGGTGGCCTTGGGCCAGTTAATCTGTCCCTCCCTCCCTCTCTGCCCTTGGAAGCAGTCAATAGCAAACTATTTCTGAAAAAAAATTGCCAGGAAAACTGCAGGGATCTGTTCAAGCAGTCCCCAGGAGTCAAATACTGACTCAAAGGTGTGCACGCAATGCGCGCGCACAAACACACACATACACACACACACACAAAAACACACGTAAGCTGGCAAAACCAAGAAAGCAACAACGATGCAGATTTCAGTGAAGGATCTTTAATGCAACAACCTTGAAAACTATATGAGGAGTTTCTCAACCTCAGTTATCATGAGTTAAAATAAGGTAGCATCTTTTTCTAAGGTTTTCCTCACCTTTCTCAGAAGCTAGACTGAAGTGTTGTTTCTAAGCTAAAGCTTTGACTGCCTCCCCTGTTTGGCTTTCCTACAATTTTTCATCTGTGCATCATGTAAAACGGGGGTCCCCAACAGAGGTGGCTTTCAGATATTGTTCACCCTGCGTGCACACCTTCCACGCATGCGCCCGGCCTTCTGCGCATGCGCTCTGCTTGCACACACTCCTTCCATGCATGCTTCTGGCCTTGAAAACGTGGCTAAATAGGATGGAATAGTGCCGGGGCAGGTCGGCGGGCCCACCTGCGATCTCTGCTACCGATTCGCCCGAACCAGTACAAACCAGCTGAATACCATCTCTGGTTCCCAACCCCCTAGGTCCAGGAACAATGCATGAAGCTTCATTGCCCATGCGTGGGATTTAGGTTGTGCTCAAAACCATTCCCCACCACACCAAAACCACTGAAGCCGCTGCCGCCACCGCCGGTCCACAGACCAAAAAGGTTATAGGATCCTTGATGTAAAACACATGCAACCATATTTCAATTTATGAGAGGAGAGACAGATAGCTGGTGTCTTGCAGTGAAACCAGGACGGTCCTCAATTCATTCTTCTCCACCATAACATTTGCACGCCAAAGCCCCCACTTTCAATCTTGCTGCCCTTAGGAAACAGATCAGGTAGCAAATGATGAGACAGACTCCCGAGACTTTGGCCAGCAAGTGGAAGGAACAATATCGAATTAACCTGACACTTGTGGTATGACTAAGATTCAATAACTTCTCTTGTTTCTACTCTTCCGAGGGGAAGGAATAGTTCACAGGACTGCATTTGGAGATGATAAATAAACACACAGGTATGCTTGTGACATTAATATCCAACATGGGAAGCATTTCCCAACCTTGGCAACATTGAGACTTGGTGAACTTTAACTCCCATGGCTAGCTGGGGAATTCTGGGAGTTGAAGTCCACCCATCTTAAAGTTGCCAAGGTTGGGAAATTCTATCCTAAGGTATCTACTCTGTTTTCCCCAAAATAAGACATCCCCTGATAATAAGCCCAATCGGGCTTTTGAGCGCATGGCAATAAGGCCAAGCACTTATTTCAGGGTTCAAAAAAATATAAGACAGGGTCTTATTTTCGGGGAATACGATAAGAAACATAATGTTAAGAATCCTTATTATATTACATAAATATAAATTATATATATTATTGTCAGGTGCAAGAAGTCATGGACCAAGGTAAGAGTTCAAAAGTATTACACATTTATTTCATGCTAGCTATACACAAGAATCTGATCTACTAATGGTCAAGGGCAATTGGCGGCAGATAAGATTCAGTGGACTTCAAGGGGGAGGGGCTGGACTTAGGTCTCTTACGGGGGCATATGGATTCCAAACTGATGATGCAATTGACCACACCCTTGGGCTCAGCCTGGTCATCTCCTACAATTATTTTATATATGTAATATAGATGATGTGTACATTATAAATATAATCATTATACTAAAATAATATATTGAATTAAAACTGAGAAAAGGGATGGAGCAATATAGCATCTTAGTGACTAGATTTAATAATGTGTTAAAGATTGAGCTAGCTGTGTATCAATACTCTATAGATGTATCTTTTATTTTTTCAAACTCACTCATTTAATTACTGTTTTGCACATTCTTTTTTGATTAAATTAGCAACATTATATTTTGGGGTGTATTTCACTATATTTTTTAGTTGTTATACTTAACCAATAAAAATATGTAAATGTGAGCCACAACTAGGACTTATAATTTACCTACCACTCTTCCTCCTCAAGGAGCATGGAGTAGTTTGCAAATAAATGTAATATAAATAAGTATCTAATCATAACAGTGAAATGCCAAGCTGTTCAGGAATGAAGAACAGCTGTCTGGGTTTATGTCCTCACACGCTGAACTGCCAAAAGCTTGAAGCTTTTCAACCTCTTACCTCTGTATGGGAGGGGACTCCAACTCCCAGAGTGCTGTTCTTACTTCCTAAGTCCTTGGATTTACTTTCCAAATTGTGCGTCACTGTTCTTCCTGCCAAGAACCTGAACATTCTGAGACCATGACAAGAACCAGGCCAGCTCAGCCTTCCTTCCAGGGTGACAACTGCAAAAATTTGCTTCCATGCCACATGTTCTGGTAAAAAAAACCTCAAGATGGCAATTTGTCTTTGATTCACTGTTGTAACCGCCATCTTGATTTTTTAAATCAGAATCTGCAGATATCCTGATTCATCAGTTCTCTGCTCAGACCACTGTCTGTACTTAAGGTTTCACTTATTTCTTCAAGGATTATTTTTAAAAACCCTGACATTCCCCAGGAATTGGGAGGAGTGGTAAAGAGGGAATTCTTACTCATGTGTCCTGCCATCCCACCCAAACTCCAGTATTCCACTGTATCTACATCTGCATTTTTTATTTTTTATTTTTTATTTTTGCTTTTCTTCTTTTTAAGTGCTAGAACTTATTGGGAAGTTGTCACCAGGATTGTCCAGCCATATAAATGTGTGATAAGAAGATTGGTTGTTTTTTAAATTCTGTTCAGTCGTGTCTGATTCTCAAAGACCATCTCGATAGGTTTCCCCAGTTTTCTTGGTGACTTTTCAATGGTTGTTGTCCATTGCCTCCTTTCTAGAGCTGAGAGTGAATGACTGGCCCAAAGTCAACCAGCTGTCTTTGTACCCCAGGTGGGACTAGAACTCACAATTCTCAGTTTCTAGCCTGATGCTTTAACCATTATATTAAACTGGTTGTCATAGTAAGAAGATAGATGTTCTCATTTAGATATTTGAAGTGAAGTAGCAACTTGTCAGCTTTTCTGAAGTCAGTGTTCAATTTTGCATAGGGATCTTGAATCAATCACATTATTATTCTTTTCATTCTTTGTCTCCAGCTGATTCTGGCAGGCATCCTCACCCTTGCTGCAGACAAAACCAAAAGCCTAAATTTGGTAAGTATGTGAGGAGTAAGTATGTGAGAAGGCAAGAGAGGCCATGTTGATCAAAGCTTATTGGTCTTGTTCACTGAAGGTTATAGGGTAATCAGCCACTGTTTTCCAGTAGTCCTCCAAGATACTTCATGTTATCTTCTCTCTGTTCTTACTGTGTCTCGGTAACTTCATTAAAGAAGAAAGGAAGAGATGAGCAGTACAATGTCTTTTGATTGGACTAGGAACCCATTACCTATAAGTAATAAAATAACCCTTTGCTCCTTCTTAGAGAGTGGGGATTTCCAGATACATTGACAGTTCTCATAATACTGAAATGGTTCCATCTCCGATGTGATTCATATTTTCTCCTCCTGTCACTTTGACAATTTCTTTGGAGGGAGATATTGCTGGCTGCTGTTCAGAAGCTCCTGAACAGGAGCTTCTGAGCTCCTGTGTAGTTCTGCAGACTGTCTACTGATCTATTTTCACATTTTATCTCAATTCACTTTCTAATCTCAGTCAGCCAAATAGTATGACGTTTCTTCCTTGGCCTTATAATAGAAATTTAGGGCCTAGTTGATGCGCATTCCTCCAGTCCTTGAGTCAGCCAACAAATATGCCAGCGTAATTTGTGCTGCTCTGACAGCTAAGTTCTATTTTGCTTCAATTACAAGGCCAGCAAGAGGAATTCTCCTCAGAAATCTAATATGAAACATTTTAAGGACAATGGTGGATGGATTACTCTCTTTAAGGTGTGTTGGCAGAGGTGGGAAGGTTCAGGCAAAGCAAGTTGTCCAGCTGAATTTATTCCTGGCACAGAGAGTTTGCCAGGACTGCCTCAGGGAAAGGCTGCTGGTGCTTTACAGCAACAATTAGTCACTTAAGCATTTTTTCTTAATCACGGGTCTTTTCGTATCATTATATATTTTTTTCCTATCATCGGACTCCAGCTACCAGTCCTGGATGATATCTTCGAATCTCGCTGTTTGAGAAAGTTACATAACATTCTCAGAGACTTTTCTCATCCTGCTTACAATTTTTTTGGACTGTTGCCTTCTGGCAGAAGATACAGAACAATTAAAACTCAGACCACATGTTTTCTGAATAGTTTTTATCCCAGAGCTATAATTGCACTCAGCAATGAACTAAAGGGCCATCATCAGTGAGTTGTTGGACAGTATTACTTCGTCTATTGTGTGGATGTTTGGGTGGTTTAGGGGTGGGGAATTGTGGTGGGTGAGAGTGTGTTTGGAGATTGTTATTGTGTTGGACTTGGTCTTTGGGTGTTAAGTGAATTTTGTTGTATGGGTATACTGTGTATACACGTACAATGACAATAAAGTTGTTGTTGTTATTATATTATTATTATTATTATTATTATTATTATTATTATTATTATTATTATTATTATTATTATTATTATTTTATTTGGTCTATATGCCGCCCTTCTCCGGAGACTCAGGGCGGCTTACAATGCGTTAAGCAATAGCTTTCATACTTTTGTATATTTATACAAAGTCAGCTTATTGCCCCCACAATCCGGGTCCTCATTTTACCTACCTTAGAAAGGATGGAAGGCTGAGTCAACCTTGAGCCTGGTGAGATTTGAACTTGCAGTAATTGCAGGCAGCTGAATGTTAATAACAGTGCTTTAGTCTGCTGCGCCACCAGGGCTCTTCATCATCATCATCATCATCATCATCATCATCATCATCATCATTCTGAAAAAGTAGCAAAGCCATGTCCAAAAACAGCCCCATCAACAGATCAGTTGGGCAGAAGAGGGTGCAGGGTGAAGTGAGGGAGGAATCTCCACTGCATTGGGAAGCTTCCCTCCAGAGGCCACTAGTTGTTTTCCTAAACATTGGTTTTAAAAAGAAGTCTAGCAAAACTATTTCTGTATTCATAAGAAACCTATGTTTAGCACTTGGCAAAGGGTAGTAAAATCTTACTCAAGCAGAAGCCTCTGTTGCTTCTAGGATTCTGGTCTCTCCTGCAGTCCAAGGCAAAATACTACTGCAAGGCGGTGTCCCCAGAGTTAGGAAGGGGCTCGCTTGCAACAGCACCCACAGTTGGACTGTTCTCAGCTTCTGGATGCCCCATCACCAACCGGTCAGTGTGTAATTCATAAAATGAGACTTAAAATAACTGCTTTAAAAGTGGAATAGTTAAAGATGAACTCTGGGCTCAGCCCAAGTTCAGGCTAGGGATGAGAGAAAGGGGACATAACGAAGACATGAACTTAAATAAAAGTTAGAGAAGCATGTGGTACTGTACCGTAGTTAGTGAATACAGGTAGTCCTTGACTTACAACCACAATTGAGCCCCAAATTTTTGTTGCTAAGTGAGACTTCTGGTAAGTGAATTTTGCCACATTTTTTCGACCTTTCTTGCCACAGTTGTTAACTGAATTACTGCAGTTGTTCAGTTACTAACACGGTTGTTAATTGAATCTGTCTCCCCCATCGACTTCACTTGTCAGAAGGTTGCCAAAGGCAATCAAATGACAACAATCATCATAAATATGAGTCAGTTGCCAAGTGTCTGAATTTTGATGACATGATCATTGGGATGCTGCAACAATCAAAAGTGTGAAAAATGGTCATAAGTCGTTTTTTTCAGTGCCGTTGTAAATTTGAACGGTCATTAAACGGACTGTTGTAAGTCAAGGTCTACCTGTACAAGCATTAGCATTTAATATTTTTTCTATAGAGCTTCCTGTGCTATTTTTATTTTTATTTACCTATTCGTATCCTTGCCTTTATTATGTTTCCAAATAACTCAAGGCGGCAAGTCTATCTGACACACCTTCCTCCTCCTATTTTCCCCTGTGAAGTGAATTGGGCTGAGAGAGGCTGAGTGATTGGCCTAAGTCACCCAGCCTGCTAACAATCTCTGGCTTTCTAGCGTGGTGTCTTAATCACTAGATCACTTTACTCTCCCTCTAAAATTTAGCTTCTTGTTCATGGAGCTTCCAATGTCTTAGTGTTTTTTTAAAAAATTCCCTGCTTTGGTCTTCTCCCAAGCCCAAATATACAATCCCATATCCTCAGCAGAGTAAATTATTCCAGGATTTGGAAAGCGACTGAAATTCTGAAAAATTCTGTATTTTTTAATAATTTTCAATAAAAATTAAACAAATAAAAAAAAAAAAGAAAGCGACTGAATATAGTACCATATGACTGAAAGATTTCTTGGGATCGCGGTACCCTTATTTACATATCAATCTTTTCCCCATATGCTTCTTGAAGGGAATTTATTTGCAAAACACTATAAATATACCATAGTGTGTGGGAAATGGAAGTTGGGTGGTTTTTTAAAAATAATTTTGAATGAAGGATGAAGGACACTCAACCATTGAACAATAATGATATCGCAAGGGAGAACAGGATTGCTATATTGGCTGTCTTTTATGCTGCAAGCTCTTAACCCTGAAAAACCTGCAGAGATGCCTAATGGCATTTGCAAAATGGTAGAGATCTGAAGATGTCTTGGGGAAAAAAATGACTTGATTAAGCTGGAACATTTGTGAATGCTTGCAAAATAGAAAGACTAGCAACCTGGAAGCATCAGATAATTTTCATGCCATGTTGAGTGGTTCCTGAGCAGCAGAATTGTCTCAATCATCTTCTGTGACTTAAACAACAGTATTATCAGATGTATTCAGATCTCAAAGCATTGTCAGAGACCCCACACACCCACTTCACGGTCTGCTTCTGTTGCTCCCGTCTGGGAGGAGGCTTCAAAGTATTTCTAGCAGGATTACCAGATTCTGTAACAGTTTTGTTGCCTATGCCATCCGTCTGGTAAACTTGCAGGATTCTTTTTTCTTACCATGTACATGTATACATCTGAACTAGACTGTGGTTTCTCTGTGTCCTATAAAAAGATGGCTTCCAGGCCTGACAATATGTAGGTATATGCATTATTTATTTGTTTGTTTATTTATTTTGTCATGTTTATGTAGTGTATATTGGAAGTAGTGTCCCTTTGAGAGCTGTATGCAACGAAATTTCATTTTCATGTATGACAATTAGTGTACACAGTGACAATAAAGTTATTCTATTCTATTCTATTCTATTCTATTCTATTCTATTCTATTCTATTCTGATTTCCTATCAGGTTTCAGATCTGGGAAAAGGTGTCAACAGTACTTCACTTTTCCCCTAAAGGTGTCAGCATGAATACTTTTCTTTCAGGTGAAAGCTTGCCTTGTCCTCTACATTATCTGCAGCGTGGTAGTGGCTGTGGTCAACATTTTCTATTTGATTGATTTAGTGTACAACCCCATTCGATGCAATACTAGTGATAATTTTTGTCAACTACGGCATCAGATTGCGGTGAGTTCTCCTTGGGGCCAAGTTTCTGTTTTCTTTGTGAAGAATATCTGAACAACAAGGGCTAATACAACTGGCAGAAGTTGGATTGAGTACTGGGGAGATGGTTTTCGCTGGCAGAATATTGAATGTCCTCATTGAGTTAATTAATATTGAATTTATACAATATTCAACACACATGCACCAATTCTACAAGAAGAAAATCCATCTTGTGTGAAAAGGACATACTATGGATTTTATTTGTTGTTTTTTTTTTGTTTTTGGTGTAGCGTTTCTGATTAGAACCAGACCAAGCTTAGTAGACTCTGGCTACTGTGAAGTCACTCTTCAGAACTTCTGTGGTATCCATTTTATGACTTTGTCACTAAGATTATTTTATACCACCTTATTCACGTCACAGACCATATTCCCAAAAACAGTTAAAGCCTGAACTAAAACAAAATTGAATTAAAGATAATAGGATAATTAATAGGATTATTGCTAGTGTGTTGCGGGGAGCCTGAGAGGTACAACCTAGAGGTTGCATGCATTGCAACACACTCTGTCCACTCCAGCCCTAAGTAGTCTTGAGATTTCCAAGAGAGATTGTTAACCCCGCTCATAGACTTATATTTCCCAATCTTATGAGGAGTTTTGTTTTGTGGAAAGATGGAATAAATGCTGAACTGCTTAATCATAATGTTAAGTGCCAGGGAGATCAGGAGATCCAGGCAGTTCAAATGGGTATAAAGTTTTATTGCAAGTTTAAGTTCTCTACAAAAATCTGAACTAGTAACAGTCGAAGATAGATAAGGAACTTAGATCTCTTGTGAGCCCATAGGGACTCAGAACTGATGACATGTTTGACCCCTCCCTCGGGCTCAGCCTAGTCATCTCCTACACATATATTGTGCATTTAACTTCATACGCAGAAGCTAAATGAGTTTCAACTGAATGCGGGGGGCACCCAGTGATCACTATTGCCTCATTACTCATGACGTAGTAATGATCACTGGGTCCCCCTGCCTCCCACCCCCTCCATTCATGGTTCCTGTGATTTTTGTTGCCTTTGTAAAACCTGTGTGACTGCTTCAAGAATTGGTTTCTATCCTCAGTTCTATCTCTTAGTCCCCCTGGTCCCTGCGGTTGAGCCAGAATGCCTTAAGAATGCCTTAAAATCAGTAAGACTTTAGTACTGCTTATTAAATCTGTTTCAGAAACATTTGGGGGAAAGCTGACTACTCTTGAGTCTCTCTAAGGGGAGGCCAACAAACAATGCAGCTTCTTGTCCTTGATTTCCTGTTCTGTTTTTCAGGCCTGTTGCACGGCCATGCGTGGCATTGTCCTAGTACTAACTTCCCTGGGATTCTTTGTTTGCATTTCCATGGCAGCCTTTGGATGCAAAGCAGTGTGTCGCCCAAACACAACCACAGATTAGGAGGTAATTTGTTTCCATCTGTTTTGATGAGGAGAGGAGGGTTACGGACAAGAGGATTAGTAAGGTCAAAGAATGGTGAAAGGGAGATGGGTGAGGAGTAGAGAGAAGACAAAAAGGACAGGTTAGGGATAGGTGACTAATAATCTGTTCTGTACCTCTAGCAGGCAATTATGACAACTTCACAATCTGTGGACCTGCATGGCTGGCTCAGGAATTCTGGGAGTTGAAGTCCACAGATTGTAAAGTTGCCATACTTCCCCAATCCTGCTCTAGCAAGTACCAACACAGGTCCACACAACTGAAATGATGAAAATCCAGTGGGAGAGCCAGTATTAACCAGCTGTGCTGCGAATCAACTCCACATATGAATTTCAAGATAAAGTAATAATGGAACAAAAATGAAGAAAACAAAAATATTTCTACATGTATGAGAGATGGGAATACCTAGTTGCTAGGATAATGGAAATAGCCAAGATGATGATTTGAGGACAATTTGAACATTATAGCCTCTGACGACAAGCTACCCAAAATTTAATAAATGCAACTATCCACCTCATGGGTTAGCTTCGACCACAAAATTTCTTGGCTATAAGATGCAACTCCCAACAGTATGATTTTCAGGTAAAAGCTATAGAATAAAGTGAGAATGGAAAGCATCTGCAAAGCAGCTGTGAATTGAAGCCTTCTACTGCCATCTTGCTCATTCTCCCAGGCAACCCAACCAAACCAAACCAAACCAAACCAAACCAAACCAAACCAAACCAAACCACAACAAAACACCCAGACATATTTAGTCCTGCTCTTTCTAGAGATGTTGCTAAACCATCAGAATGTGTCTTATGGCCTGCCAACCAACTGGAAGTTTGAGTTGGTGCTTTTAAGCTAGAAAAATGTTGCCTAGCCTTGCCTCAACTTCTCAAATAAACCCAACAAATCATCATGATTAAACCAATTATATCTTTGCATGATTTGAATGTTTGTTTCTTTCACAGACCATTGTTGTTTCAAAGCATTTTCCTAATTCTACTAAAGTCAACAACGAACCTGAACATGTTTTTTATCCAAACTTCAATGTCCAGAGCAGTGTTTCCCAAACTGTGAGGTGAGCCTCCCTTGGAGAGGTGCAGACAGAGTCTAGGGAAGATGTGAAGAACCATTTAGTTGAACATTGTTGTAATAAATCCATCTTTCCCAAAGTTTCATTGTATTGTTTTCATTGCTTGTGTTCAACTTGGTGTTTGAATTGATACTTTTTTTTTCATTTGTGTACATTGATAAATGGAAGCACGATGGCAAAAAGATGAGGAATTTCTGATTTAGAGGAAATTTGAAGTAACCATCTGCATTCTCAACTAGTGCCCTTGTTCCCTTTTATCCAGTCCATTTCTCTGAATGTTGACCGTACTGTTATTTCTAAAGCCCATTTGCCTTTCTAGATGCAAATTTAGTAAACTGAACTGAAGGCAATTCAATTTTTGTTGTTAGCTGCGAAGTCGTGTCCAACCTATCGCGACCCCATGGACAATGTTCCTCCAGGCCTTTCTGTCCTCTACTATCCTCTGGAGTCCATTTAAGCTCACACCTATTGCTTCAGTGACTCCATCCAGCCACCTCATTCTGTCGTCCCTTTCTTCTTTTGCCCTCAATCTTTCCCATCATTAGGCTCTTCTCCAGTGAATCCTTCCTTCTCATTAGGTGGCCAAGATATTTGAGTTTCATTTTCAGGCAATTCAATATGTATTGTAAATAGCAAAGTTCCTGCTGAGTTTATATTCCACCTCTTATATTTATTTATCTCGCCCCTTGATTCTTTCTGTTTCAGATTCTGCAAGAGGAAATCTCCCTTAATAGCCTTAAATCTTCTCAGTAGTTCAGACAAAATGAATGAGCATGAAATTAAGAAATAGCTTGTCCATTTCTTCTCCAACAATGCACAAGAGGAAAGCAGTAGGCTAGCAGTGTGAGGGCTCTTTTTTGGGTGAACAGATTTCTGTTGCTGCAGGAACTTTTGGCGAGCAGTAATCCTCACTCCTTGTTTTAAGCATTTCATGATGCAGAAGTGAAGAAAACCACAGAACACCTGCAAAGTACTTTTGAAGCTTTCCAAGAGTCTTCTTTTATCTCTTACTTGGGGCCCTTCCCAATGCGTCAAAGTTAACTTGAAAACAATCTGTGAACCTTTTTTTCAAACCTGCTTGCTTTACAGTGTTGAGAATTGGGAGCAAAGGCATAATCCTCCCCAATCTCCCCTAACATCACAAGCTGGAAACATGTCAAATTACTTTTCCTCTTCTTACAACAACCTTCACTCAGGTTCTGTAGAACTACAGTATTAGAAACCACACACACAAATCATTCTAGGGCACTCCCACATGCACTTTGCAATTTATATCAGGATCATCTCTGAATATCTTTAATCCCATGACAGCTTCTCTGCTTAGTAGTTGAGCCTATTGATGCCTGGCTTTATAAATCTAAATTTATTTCCCTTGAACATATTGTTGCTTCAGGATTTAGGGCAGCTGGAACAGGACAGCAATTTTCATTCCTTGTTCTCAGAATATCTGTTTCAGCATCTATGAAGCCAATGGCAGGTCATCTACCAGACTGTTCTTATGGGAATGGGGAATGAAACAAAGTAATATCTTTGCTTTATTTTAAATGTACTGCAGCTGAGTTGGAAATAATAACACTGAGTTCTCCTGAGCCAGTTTGATAGGATCACAACTCTGCTTTTCAACTCGGGCAGAGTCTTCGTGAGAAAGTGGCCGTAAGGTCATTTTTTCATATCCTGCCTTTGGGGATAGTAAAGAACAAGTCACATCCTTCTTCTATATATCCTCCACCCACCCCCTTCCTGGAACTATAAAAGCATTGATAACTCCTCCATACTCAGATTTTTTTTTCTTTTTGGCTCAACATAACCAGTTTTTCAATGTCTCTTTGGAACTTAGTTCTCAACCCCTTGGAGAAACTTCCTCTGAACCTTGCCTAATGTGTCTGAGTTCTTCTTAGGCCTAAAACCAGTGATGAAATCCAATTTTTTTTACTACTGGTTCTGTGGGCATGGCTTGGTGAGTTGTAAGTTAAAGATGCTGGCCTTAGTCTCTACACCTTACAAGAAAAAGGGAAAATTTCCATCTCACTGCTATTCCCTTTCATCTTATTTGCTGGAGAGGCTACAGAAGACCACTCACAATAGGACTAAAAAGAGAAAGCAGCAACAGCATTGTCTGCATGGTCCAAAACAGATTTTGGAGTGGTTTAGGCCTTATGCAAATGTATAACCTCTGCTATTTATTAAAGTTGTCAGGTTTTTTTCCAGGCTCACATAAACCTGGAAAATAAAGCGCTTCTGCTTTAAGAATTAGATTAACTTTAAAAAGCAGATTCTCTGAATAAGATTTCAACAACCCCAGGGAGATTTATGGCATCTTAAATGTAAACAACTTTATTGCCACAAAGACCTTGTTCATGTCATCATGCCTCTGGCCACCTGGGGTTTCCAAGCAGCTGTTGGAAACAAAATTAAGATGTTGCCTGATTTTGTGCCATGTCTTGTTTGAGGAAAGCACAACAGCCCACAATGCATATCAAAAGAAATTTATCAGCTTACTGTTTTGAACCATGTTTTTAAATCATGCCATTACAGCTTGAAAGAAAAAAAGAGGAAAAAAAATGCACTGAAACTCAACCCTCCATGTATTTCTGTTTGGGATAGCAACTTTTTGTCTAGATGGTAGCCCCCTTTTCTTGGTGATTTGTTTCAAACATGCGATGATTGAGCAATAAATTAACTCATGGTTTAAAGAACAAATACAGATGCCTGAGCTGGCACTGAAGTACCTTGAATCATCAGGTAACTACACTGAGCCATAAACTAGTATAGTGTTTATATGATCCCACTCACATAATAAGCAAGGAGGTCACTAGCACCTTCAAACCAGTTGTTATATTTTAGCCTGATCTATCTTACAGGTTTTCTGTGAGAATAAAATGGACAAAGAGCCAAACCAAATGTATTAAATCAGATGAAGGACAAAATAGTAGAATGGTACCAAGTATGTTACCCAAGCAGTCTTCACAGTATAGGAAACCAGGTTTAGACAGTAGTCTTAAGTCTACAGAAATAAACCCTATCAAACTAGAACTTAATTTAAAAACATATATAGTCTGGCACTGTTATACAGATCTCTCCACTGCCCCAGCTTTTTTTCAATCCTGTGTAACACTGCTAATATACTACCTGCCTACATTATCTATCAACCAATATCACATTTGTGTTTTATATACATAGTATTTGCATATCAGCAAATTCATCCAACTATCATCTCATATATGCAGATTTAGTCAAGTTTCCTAATGCTTGCATTACTCCAAGTGATAGGCAAACAACAATTGGCTAGGACCTCAGCCACTTTAGCATTTTTAACAACCACTTGTTGCTTTATGGTAAGAAGGTGTTTTCAGCACTCACAGAATAATTGGAATAGCAGAGATGTAGCTTAAGTGGAAAGTATTGGAGGAGTTATTTATAATGAATTAGACCTGCAGGAATCTGTGATTCCAATAGGGTGATGAGGGCGTAACTGACTTTCCCAGACTAGGAAAGTCTGCAACTTGAGCACCAACTAAAACTGTACAATTTATTTGCCTTGGCTTCAGTCTCTATCTCCATGAGCAGGAACAGAATCCAAGAGGACACCCAAAATGTGGTCCTGCTCTAAAGGGGAATTGTGACACCATCCCAAACCAACTTCAGAAATAGAATTGAGTCAGATTGCAAAATTCAATTTTGTATTGGGATTTAATTTAAACACAAATTGTTTTGACACATGCTGCCTTTGAATGCATAGTGTAGCAAGAATAGGAAAGGAAATGGCTGCAGGGGACAAGTTGCAATGCATTGTGGGCAATCATTCTGTTGATCTTTATTGGAAAACCTTGCTGGAATTTGTGGAGCCTAATTCTGAATAGATGTTTGGTTCACTTACCGCTGCCAACCTTAATTAGGAGACTAGTCTGCTCCAAAATTCTACACCATTTTATAGTTCGAGGAAAGGGTTTTCTAGTTACTCAAATATTAGTACTCTAAAGACTGGGAAGAGTGATAAAAGAGAGGGGAACTCTAGTAAAGGTTTAAATATTTCCAAGATTCCCAATCTTAATGTGTATGCATCTCTCAATAAACTGGAAGCATTCTGGCAACCAGTCATCATCTCTTTCCTTTTTCTATTCTAGGTTCAACCTGCCCGACATTTTTTTTTTTTTTGCCTTCTATTTAACTACAAAGTCAACCTTTTTATCTGCTTAAATGGAATGTTTGATCCCCAAAGCAGATATTTTCTTCCTTTAATCCTACTTCAACCTTTCCTGTCGCAAGCAATACAAATTTTAGGCAGGCCCTCTTACTGACAGCAGAGTTCAGTAAGTCCTGAAACAAAGTGGGTTTTGCTAAATCAAGAGCTCTTTCATTTTCCAGGAACCACAACTTCAGCTTTTCCTTCCCTATTGCTAAAAACTGAAATTCTGGTTTCTGGCAGGTGAGGGAAATGACTTGGAAAGGATATAGTGCCTAACCCCATAATGTAGCATGTACCACATTTTTGTGTGCCTAAGGAAAACAAGGTTGCTATCACAAATATAGACCACTTATTCTTCCTCTTGAGTGCCCAAGAATCAAAAATCCTACTCATGATGACTTGGACCAGTTCTTATCCAGAGTGAGAAAACTTGAGTTTATTGGGGTTATGCAGCAGCTAAGACATCTGGGTAGATTTTTCTCAATCCACTGGCTGGATTGATCAATGTAGTTGGTAAATCATGGTTTATGGTTTTACTTATTGTGAAATAGAGCCATGAAATATTACAATGCAACTAAGTAGTTAAATAGCCAATTGGACCAGAGTTCCAAGAAATGTTTAAAGAAGATACTTTGATCCACATTAGACCAAACACCAACAAAATATGGTGCCTGTGACCTCTTGATTCTTACTTGACCATAATTTTGCTTTAGAGAATAAACAAAACTGCAGTCAAACCCAAAGTGCAATCTTGCACCATGGGACAGATCATATGAGACTAAACAAGTCAGGAGGTTATCTACTTTCCGGTTCTCCAGAGTTTAGGCAGACGTTTCCCTGTCTTTTGCTCTCATTTGTTTTTCAGCTGGAGCTGTCAGGAATTGTGCCAGGAA